GAAGCGAGCTCTCTGCTGCTGTCCTCTTCATATTTATCAGCTCTGTTTACTGGCAGAGTGGAAGAGTGAGCGGGCATTGTATACATAAATATCATAAAATCCACTGAGGGCTGGCAAGACTGAGTTCTTAATCCTGGCTCCATCACTATTTGCAACCCAAAGAAGTCACTCTCTCTGTGTTTTCTCTGTCTCTAAAGTAAATAAAGGATAACACATTAAAAAAAAGATCAATTGGTGTTCTGAGGAAAAGGGGTGGGCGTGGGGGAAGACAGTTCCAAGTTGGGCTGAAAATATGACGTTTTTATTAACGCTGGAGGTAGATAAAGCCTTGTGTCCATGTCTTCACCACCAGTTCTTGGCCAGAGTACTGGGACATCTCTGACCCGGTCTCCTTAAGAGTACTTCCTCTCCCACTCCCTCCTCCAGTTCCCCCAGGCTGATCTTTCTAAAGTGGAAATCCAGGTGAGTCAACTGTGTTAAAAACCTTCCAGTTTCCCACTTCCTTCTGGAAGAAGTCCAACTTCTCGGGTCTGTGCGCTCCATGCTCTTGTTCTGTCCTTCTCTCCAACCTCTCACCTGCTGGGTGCCCCTCACTCCTCATTCGTGCTTCACACACCCCCCCACAAGGGGGACCCTGCTTCATGCCTCAGGGCCTTTGCATGTGTGCTTCCCTTTTTCCAGAATGCTCTTCCCTGGCTGGCATCGAGTGTTTCCCTGCAAGGTCCCTGGAAATACTTCTTGCCCACAAGACTTGAGCCCTTTGAAAGCACAGCCTCAGCCATCCCCAGTATACAACAGGGCCCTGCACTGTGATGGATCCAGGGACGGGATCCAGGTGCAGAACCAAAGGGTTCTCTCTGCAGCTTCAGGATGCACAAAACTCCTCCAAGAGATTTGCAGTGGCATGATTATCAGCTCCCCTCCTGGGCTCCACTAAATTTGTGCTGATTTTTATCTCTGTTTGGGATTGGAAATTTTTAATTTTCAATGTATCATTTTAAAATACATGTCCTGAGATTTCCCGAGTAACCCAGTGGTTAAGACTTCACGCTTCCATCTCATGGGGCATGAGTTTGACCCCTGGTCAGGGAACTAAGATCCCACAGGCCTCAGTGTAGCCAAAATGTGTTTAAAAAAAAAAAGAAGAAGAAGAAACCTAAAAAAGGACACATTTAGCATCAGAATGCATGTATTTTAGCTACAGCAGGTAGCCTCCTGCTCTCTTGAGTCTCCTTCAGAAGACCATCTAACCAAGGCCCTTTTCCCAACCATAGAAAACTACAGGCTGGTGCTCACATGTCAGTGTCAGGGGGTGAACCACTGGGCGCAGGGACACCCCCTGGGGCTGCCTCCTATCCCATCCACATCTGAATGGGGAACCTGTCCATGGTGGGACCCCAACAAAGGACTCAGCAGGCAAAGTGCCTGAGAGCCCATGTTGGAACTGGGGTCTACGTTTATAAATGATCACCCCAAAACACGACAGGCTCCACTGTGTTTCCACCCTCCAGGCACCTGGGCTTCTCTGCCCCCTTGGTAGGAACGCAAGCGATGGCAGCAGGCTGCAAAAGTTACCGTAGAGGGGTCAGCCTCACAGAGCCAGAAGTGAATAGAAAGAGGCCATATGCCTGCTTCCAGCCCACTCCTTGCGGAAGGAAGGAAACTGTGGAGGGGAGGGAATGTCTCAAAGATACTGGGAGAAGTGCTCAGCTCCTGTGCTCCTCCTTCACAATGGTGGGGGAACTGGTGCTGGTGCTTTGGGGCGCCACTGGGGTTCAGAAGTGAAGTCCTGGCTCATCTTTCTCTCCTATGGCTTGTAGTTGATCCCAGGGCAGACGCTGAGTCCCATCCATCTTCAGATCCCCCAGGAATCCATGCATACAGCTGAGTCCCAGTGTCAACAACCATGTAAAGAAAGTGGAAAGTGGACTTTCCACTTCTAAGGGGCCTATGAACCAACCACACTGAGAGGGGGCTAGACGCTCTGCCCTCGTTCAGATCTTGCTGAAAAGTCCCCTTCTCAGGAGGATCTTTTCTAGACTCCCTATTTCATATCGCCACCCTCTCCCTGACATACCCTCTGTGCCCCCTGCTTGTTACCATCCGTCAGACTGCAGGATTTCTCTGTTCAAGTGAACCTCTTTTTCATCCCACTAGAATGTAAGCTCCCAGAGGGGAAGGATTTTTGCTATGCTCTCAAAGTCCCCAGTACTTTGGCCACCTGATGTGAAGAGCCGACTCTTTGGAAAAGACCCTGATGCTGAGAAAGAATGAGGGTGGGAGAAGGGAGCCATAGAGAATGAGATGGTTGGATGGCATCATCGACTCAATGCACGTGAGTTTGGGCAAACTCTGGGAGACAGTGAAGGACAGGGGAGCCTGGAGTGCTTCAGTCCATGGGGTCACAAAGAGTCGGACACAACTGAGCAATTAAGCATAGCACAGCACAGTTGACTGGGAATCTCAAGTCGGTGGGCTCCAAACTGAACCCGTCTTACTTTTTCTAATTGCTTCGTCCTGACACACTCTGCCAAGCCCTGCTTCCCACTGGGTCTTCATGTCGGGGGTCGGGGGGGTGGCGAGTGGGGAGCATCCCAGCACATTTCAGGCTCTTCTAGCTATTAAAACTTAGACCAGGCCAGTTTAAAATTCCAAGTCTTGGTTCAAAGCTCCTCTCCAGAATGCGCGGGGGGTGGGGGGGGGTGGGGACACAAGATTTCCCCCCTCGTCTCTCTGGGGCATCTTGAACAGTAGGGCCAAGGGTGGGTCCTCTTCTTTCTTCTCAGGCCCTCCCTTGGTTTGGTTCTACCTGCTGAAATCTCCAGGGAGATGGGGTGCCTGACTCCTTGGGGGCGGAGCCTTCTCTGTGGCTGGCTTCTTCCCAGGAGGGGTCAGTCCTGCCAGCGGAACAGGAGCCCCCTGCCAACTTCTTTGGTGGTGGGGGGAGCCAGAGCTCCTCTCCTGCAGTGGCCCTTTGCCTTTGGAGTCCCACTCTCCATGTGGATCCCTACATGAGCCCTGGGGACCCCTGAGCAGTGGAGGTGGGGCACTGGTTTCCCTTGCTGGCTGGCAGGCTTCTCCCCCTCTCCCCAGTCCCCCTGGAGGGAGCCCGCACAAGTCTAGAGGATGTGCCAAACTCCCCCTAGGATGCCTTCAACAGCCCATCCCTGCAGCTGGCACCAGGCTTCTGCAGTTCTGCAAGTGTGCAGCTGGGGAGCAAGATGTCAGCTTCCTCTTCTGGGCAGCGTCCTGTCTGGATTTAGGATTCTCCTGGGGAGATCTCCTTTGCCTAGTTCTGGGGGCGGGCGCTGGAGAGGGAGTGGTCCCCATTCACCAACACCATCCACTCTCACCACCACCTCCTCTAAATGACTCGAGGTTCTAATGTAAACAGGAAAGAACAAGGAGCTGAGGGGCTGGAGTGGCTCCTGGCAGCAGGGCCAGCTCTGCCACCTCCAGGACACCCCTGAGGAAGCTGCCTGGCCCAAGACTTCTGTGACCTCTTTAGGAAGTGGGTTTCTTAGCATCTTTGGCCACAGCTGTGGGTCCCGGTAATGTATTTTGGAGCAACTGGAAACGCCCCCTCCAAGTTTCCTTGGTTGTTTACTATAGATCTTCCCATCCTTGGAACACGGGCCAAGAGACTAACAGCTTGAAATGACCAGTGCCTAGAGAAATGTCTGGCACGTTGCACCCCTACCCTCTGAAAGGATGACTTGGTGGGAGGACACCAAATTGAGTGGTAGCTACAGCTCGTTTGTGTTGAGAGGTAACAGGACGGGAAGGGAGGGGCCTGAGGTGGTGGGCACTGTGTCCGACACCCTTCACGTGCTATTCTGAAATGACCTTCAGCGGCAGCCTAGCCACTACTGCCTCCTGCTCCCGGTCAAGCTCAGGCGGACTCAGGAGAAGGCGATTGATGTGGGCCGGGCTCTGGAGTCTGTGATCCTGACTTCAGTTCCTCATTCGTAAAAGTGGGAAAAAGACTCTGCGTTGTGAATATTAAATTAGCTAGTATGTGTAACATGCTCAGCTCATGGAGAGACATGGCAGGTCATAAACAGGAATGAGAGTAATTTCCATTCTCATCTCTATCCCTGGGACTGACCCAGGTCTGTTTACCCGCAAAGCCACTGCTTGGACATCTCCACTCCCACCCAGTGGGGGACTGAAGGAGGGCTATGACCTTCTGGGGCGCTGGAGCAGAAAGAAGCCGAGACTCCAGGGTGAGGGTTGACAGTCGGAGGTGGGCTGCGATGCCAGACCTCGGCCTGCGGCCCTGATGTAAGAGGCACTGAGGAATTTCCGTGGGTCTTTAATCAGGGGAGTGAAATGATGAAAGTGGTGTTTTAGGAAGATTAATCTGGCAGCAGAGACAGGATGGAAAACAGTCAAGCTCAGTGCAAAGAATTACGACTGCTGCCCGGCTCGCTGAGAGGCGGGGTCATTAAAGGAAAGTGGCCTCATTCTTGGCTCCCTGGGTGCTCAGGGTTCCTGGCAGCTGGGAGGGGGCTGGGTCTTTATCAAGGAGAGGCACCCAGGGCGGCCGGCAGAGGGCCCTATTTTGCCAGGGACAGTAGTCATCACCAGGGAGCTCTGGCATCTGGAAAGCAGGCAGACAGACAGCAAAGCTGAGTCTGTTAGAACGAGGAGAGTGCCATCAGCCTGCTGGCCAGGCAGCAACTTCCAAGCTGAGCATTTCGACTGCGGCAAATTGTGGGTGGGCTCTTGTTGCGGGGTGTCCTCCGGGGAAGGCAGGATGCCCACTGTCCCAAAGGCCAGCTGCCACCACTGGAGCCGCCAGGGCTACTCTGGGAGCAGTGGCCAAAGTGTAAAATGGCTCCAGGGCTGCCCGGGCCAAGAACAGAATGAGCTGCTGCTTCTCCATTTTCTCATTTTATTTAAAGCTGTCATGATAGACCGGAAGTGCCAGGCAGCTCCATCTTCTCCCATGTTCCGAGGAGACAGAGCCCACGGCCGGGCTCCATGGTGGGGAACGGTCACACCAGCGCCTGGAAAACCTCCAGCTTCTCCCGATACAGGTGGTGAAACTGCCTGGCCAGGTAGTGGAAGGGGGCGTCGTAGTTTTCTGCCTCCTTCTGAAGAGACAAGATGAAGAAGGGTGGGCTGGCTTTAGGATCGTTGCAGACAGCTGGCATTCCCCATTCCTCCCTCCTGTCGGGTCCTCTGACCTCCGACCAACCTCTTCTTCCCAGCACTCGGGGCTGCTACTACAGCTCCGTTCGTTTTACAAGAAGGCCACTGAGACGCAGAGATTAACATCAATTGCCGAAAGCTACACTCTTGCCCGTGATGGAGCTGGGTCTGAACCTAGACCTGTTCCCACAAAGCCTGTACTTTTAGCCACTCTCATTGTGTGACAGGACATCAAAATGAGACTCATTCTTGCTTAGTTTTGCCTGAGGTCCCAGAGGTCAAAGCAAAACAACAGATGGCAGGCTCTGGAGGGAGGACCAGGCTGGATGGAGGTGGGGGCGGGGTGTGCTGTGGTATTTCCCCCAGGATGGATGTGGGCGCTTCTCTTCTCCCTCACCCTGAGGTCAGTGGGAGGGTCCCAAGAGAAGCCTACAGCCCAGGGGCTTAGGAAGGTGCTGGACACAGGCTTGGGAAGCACTGAGGTGAGGGTGGGGCTGGCTGTTTGGATGGCTGAGCAGGACAGGAAAGAACTCAGACGGCCTGCACTACCTCCTCCTGGGGTTGCAGCCATGCTTCCCTGGACCAGCAGAGGGCCCTGCAGGGGCCCAGTGTGAAGTGGTCCTAAAGGGACCCTGCGGGGACAGCCCCCAGGAGGGTGATGGGTTCCAACACCAATGGATGGCCCGGAACCGAGGTTGCAGGAAGGGTGAGCAGGTGTCATCTGAGGCAGAAGCTGCAGGTGAGAAGCCCCCTGTGGGGATAGGGAGGGCATCTCAGACACCTGGCAAGTCCAGAGGGGCCAGAACAGGTCCGGCAAACCAGGCTGGAGGGGAAGGACAGGTGTAGAAACACAGACGCAGGAGCCCTGTCCTGCTTCCAACATCAGGCTCAGGGGGCGGAGCTGACTTTAAATCAAGAATTTTGACAGTCACTCAGGACTGGCCATTTTTATAACTGAAACAATGAATAATTTTGTGACTAAAGGTGCCCAAAGGATTTTTTATTATCTGAGAGATTAAAGTTCTGCAACTTGCCCTAGATTTTCTCCATCTCGTGGGACGAACTGGCCCTATAGGGTGAGCATGACAAGCTCTGGGGGAGAAAATGATACTCTCTCCACTTAGCTATCGTTTGTCATTCTCTATGTGTGTGCTCATGGGTATTTGAAAAAAATTTTTTTTAAAGAAATAAGTTGGCAGAAGAAAGCACCCACTACTTTTAAGACAGTAGCTCAAACTATGAATGCACAAGTACTTGTTTTCAGACAATCCTTGCCTGCTGGCAAAAGTGCAGCCTTGAGAAGAGACAATGAAATAGTCCCACTAAAACGGAAGGATTTCCAAACCAAAGGATGTAACGAGGTCATCAAGCTCAGTGCCTCTGTTTTACAGACAGTGGTCTGGGGTCCCAGGCGTGCAGTGGCCCAGCTGGCTTAGGCAGAGCCCAGTCTAGAGTTCAGAAGCCCCAAGTATGAGAAGATCAGCCTTTCCACTCTGCCAGACAGGGTGACAGAAACAAGTATGTGAAACCAGATCCTGTAGAGAAAGTTACTGGACTTTCCAGGAAGGCAAGTCCCAAGGCAGAGGAGGCAAGTCACCAACAGAAGAACCAGAGGTGTCAGTGTGGAGAGGGGCCTGAGCAATGAGAGGACAGCTGGCGGCCCAGACAAGTATCTGTACAAAGTTGGCAACTACAAAGGACTGGAAGGCTGTCACTCCCCAGTAAGACATAAGAGGAATAACTCAGTTGTATCTGCAAGGGGCTTTGGGTGTACAGAGTGTAACATCCTAGGCAATGTCAAACTGCAAAACATTACCTCGGTTGAAAGTGTAGTTAAGTGTTGAATGGGAAGAGAATGAGGCCGGCAAAGCACATGCTTGAGGATTTCTAAATGAACCTGAAAGCTCTTAAAAGCTAGATCTTACGGAAAACGCAACATAAAAAGTAGGGAATTCAATGGAGGCAAGCCTCTTTATACACATGGAGTGCTCCTGAAGTAGCAGATGTAAACGGAACCATTTTCCAAATGCACTAGGAGGGCTTGCCAATGACAGGGAGTCCTTTTGTTAGATGACAAATCATAGTCTCGTGGACATCTCTGGACACCTGTAGAGTAGGTCTGCTTTGCATGAAGAATCCTTAGAGCAGGGTCAGACTAGTACTTAATCTGACCTAGAATTCTCCTCCTAGAGACTCCCAAAGTGGGCTCTGTGGGAGGCCAGAGCCCCTTCTAGAAGGTTATCGAGCTGGGCAGGGCTGTGTTCTAGTTCTGGTTCTACTGCTTGTTAACTGGGTGACCAGGGAAAGCTTCACAGTCTTTCTGAGTCTGTCACCAGTGAGATAAAGAGAGCAGTAGGACTGTAGGAAGCCTAAATAGATAATGCGTGCAAAACACCTGGCACACAGTAGGTGCTCAACAAACATCAGTTCCCTTCCTCTCTTCCTTCTGCAAGAGGAGCCATCCCTATGGATCCTTCTTGAACTTGCTTTTATTTAGTATTATCCAACTCTTCTTAGAGCAGTAAACAATGCATTACAAATTTTTAACTTCTGCTTAAAGAAATGCTTTAAATTTTTTTGGTGTGAAAATGCCAAATATTGAGGGGTGTCAGGAAGTCAAAGAAGAACCACAAAGGACCCCAAATAGCCAAACCAATCCTGAGAAAGAACAAAGTTGGAGGCATCATAGTTCCTGTTCAAACCATACTGCAAAGCTACAATAGTCAAAACAATATGACACTAACATTAAAAACAGATACAAAGAGCAATGGAACAGAACTGAGAGCCTGGGTATAACCATATACAGATATGGTCATCTAATAGTTGACAGAGGAGTCAAGAATACTCAAAGGGGAAAAGACAGTCCCTTCAGTAAACAGTGCTAGGAAAACCAGATATTCACATGCAAAGGGATGAAACTAGAACCCTAACTGACACCACTCACAGAAATTAACTGAAAGTGAATTAAAGACATGAACTTAAGACATGAAATCATAAAATTCCTAGAAGAAAACATTGGGGAAAAGATCCTTGACACTGGCTTTGGCAGTGATTTTATGAATATGACACCAAAAGCATAAGCGACAAAGGCACAAATCAGTAAGTGGGACTACCGCAAACTAACAAGCATTTGCACAGCCAAGGAAACCATCAGCAAAATGAAAAGGCAACCTGTAGAATTAAAGAACATATTTGCAAGCCACACATCAGATAAAGGGTTAACATCCAAAACACTTAAGGAATTTGTACAACTCAATAGCAAAAACATAAATACTATGATGAAAAAAAAGGGCAAAGGATCAATAACGGATATTTTTCCAAAGAAGGTATTCAAAGGACCAACAAGTAAACGAAAAGGCACTCAACATTATTAACTATTGGGGAAATGCAAATTAACCATATTATGTCACCTCACACCCGTGAAGATGGCCATCATCAAAAAGACAAGAGATAACAAGTGTTGGTGATGATGTGGAGAAATGGGAAGCCGTGTGCACAGCTGGTGGGTATGAAAACTGCTGCAGCCAGTGTGGAAAACAGGATGGAGGTTCCTCAAAAATTAAAAATAGAGTAGCCGTATGATTCAGCAATCCCACCTCTGAGTCTGTAACCAAGGAAATGAAATCATTATCTGGGAGAGATTTCTTCATCCATGACAACAGTCATGACATAGAAACAACATTAAGTGTACACTGATGAGTGGATAAAGGTGATATGGTCCACACACAGAGGAATACTATTTAGCTACAAAAAGGACATTCTGCCATTTGTGACAACGTGGGCGAATCCTGGGGGTATGATGCTAAGTGAGATAAGCCAGACAAGAAAGACAAATATTGCTATGTTGTCACTCATAAGTGGAATGTAACAAAAGACAAACTCAGAAACAGAGCAGATTGGTGGTTGCCCAGGGCAATGAGGGTGGAGGCAGGAGAAAGGGGTGAAGGTGGCCACAGGGTACAAAACCTCCAGTTTTAAAATGAGTATGTTGTGAAGATGGAATTACAAAGAAAAAAGGAAATCAAACAGCAGTAACTAACACAACATTTTAAAGCAAATACACTCCAATAAAAAAGACAAAACCAAACAAAACAAATGGCCAGGTAAGACAACTGTGGTTGCACTTAGTGAGAAGAGAGGAGGAGATGGGCTTCGCTGTCTCAAACAGCATTCGATTGTATTTCCTTTTTAATTACAGCTTTCTTAACCAAGCTGCTGGTGGTGCTTCTGTTGGCATCAGCTCAGGGGGGACCAGTTAGCCTGCAGAGTTAATATCAAGTGCTGAACTACAGCCTCTCCAGACATCATTTATACCCGCCCATTTCAATCGTGACCTGAGTTTAAATGTCCAGCCCAGTGGCCTCTGGTGATGAAAGTTGGGAGTGAAAGTTAATTTCTGAGTTCTATCAAGAATTCCAGAGAACGTGGGATATTGGGGTGAGGAGGCAATTTCATGAATGTGAATGGAGGAGGAGGGAAAATCAAATATTGTTTGCTGTGGGTGGAAGAGTTACTGCTTTGCTCAAAGGCGTGCTGCGTACAACATGGGCAACCCGCTATACAGTAAAAGCTCACTAACTGGAACTTCATTAATGTAGCATTTGTGATTATTGGACCAGAGGCAAGACTGACATTTACCTCTGTACAATCTAGGAATACAAAGATTTAGTGATAATAGTATAAATGAGATTACTGGGGGGAATATTTATACTTAAAAAAAGCTAACATTGACAGAGCGTTTACTATGCCCCAGATTTTGTGCTGAGTGTTTTTATATTCACCATCTGACTTAATTCTCATATTTATTACTCAATGAGGAATATATTTTTTCATCCCTGTTTAATAGGTGAGGAACCTGAGGCACAAACAGGTTAAATAACACTCACGGGGCCCACAGAGAGGGCTGCTATTTACCATCAGAGGACAGAGCACCCGACTTTATTTGCTACACTTTTCCCAAGGAAAGCATGCTGCTTTGGGGGTGTTTAAGAAGTTCACATCCAGGGACTTCCCTGGTGACCCAGTGGCTAAGACTCTATCTTGCAATGCAGGGGATGCAGTTTCAAACCCTGGTTGGGGATCTAAGATCCCATATGCCATGGGGCAACTAAACTTGCACCCTGCAACTACTGAACCTGCATGCCGCAACTAGAGAGTCTATATGCAATGGAAGATCCTGCATGACAATGCAACAAAGACCCCCATGTGCCGCAACTAAGATCCGATGTAGCTAAAAAAAAAAAAAAAAACCGTTCACCTCAATATAGGAATTGAACAGCAGCATCTGTTGAGTTTTGTAGATGCAACAAGAGTGTCTGTAACTTAAGTGGAGTTTGAGCAGAAAACGACCTCAGGGCTATTTATTAAGTAGCCCACTGACTCTCTGCGAGAACCAAAGAATCAGGGCCAGAGGCCACAGGGCCGGGAGTGAGGTCCAAGTGACCACTAGGGATGTTTCAGGCTGTGCCAGGCGTGGCGAGTCTCCCCAGCAGCCCCAGGAAGGGGTTGGCCCCTGGCCCCTACTGGCTCTGAAGTGGATGTTTCTGGGTGGCTCCTGCGGGGGGCAGTGTTCACTTGATTCCCTGCCACCATCGCACAAGCAAGCATCCAACTGGTGTAGCCTGGATCACATGCCTGCACCCCGGCTGCAGGGAGGCTGGGAACTCAGAACTCCCCACACAGGAGGGGCTTCACGTGACACTGAGAACACGCCAAAATCATGATATCGTGTACTGAAAGTGCTGGGAACAAACCAGTCTGTCCCATCTCCTGAGGGCTCCTGTGGCCTGGAGTCACTCTGGGGCTGCAGCAATGTGGCGACTGGGAGCAGTGAGGGGAACCAGAAGTCGGGGGTCCCAGTCCTGGTGCAAGCCTTTATGAGGCACATGACCTTGGGCCAGTCATATCACCTCATCAGGAAGTGGGAAGTGTGGGCCAGCTCCTGGATCAGGGGACTGATTCTAAGGGCCTATAAAATAATGTGCCAACAACGCCATAACCATGCCTCCTGCAGACGTCCAACAGCACTGTGACTGAACACCACACGCTGGTATTCCTTACTAACTGGGATCCAGCTTTTCCCAGGGCTGGCTGGCTGATCCGCTTCATTGTAACACACGAGTGACTCTTGCTATATTGAGACGAGATCTCAGGCGAAGGATGTAACATCAGCTCCAAATCAGGCTCTGCATATGGTGGGGTAACAACTCAATGCATGCAAGGTCACGTGAAAAAACTGCTTCCAGCCAAGGCCCCGCTGCAGACTGGGCTATGGCGCAGGCAGCAGTACTTACCACGGATGTTTCAAAACATTCCAGGCCTTGGCCTAGTGCCCACGCCTGGGCCTGGGCCACATCCACCACTCGCCTGCCAGCCAGGTCTGTCTTGTTCCCCACCAGCACACCTACTCGAAAGAAACAATCAGAGCATTGCATTATAACCGTGGCCGTCTGGGAGGACAGCTGGAGAGAAAAAAACAGCAAGCAGCCTACTTTTGAGGGGTGTGAAACATCACCTGAGAGAGGCTGTCTGACCCCAGGTGGTGAGCACCAGCAGACTTTGCGCTGGGCCCCAGGGGTCGAAGCAGAGTGGGTGGCACGCCCTTCCACCTGCAGTTTTTGTTCAGCCCCTTTTCTAGACCTTGAAGGTACCTGCCTGCCTTGTCTCTTTAAGGCTCCAAGTGCTGTGAAGGCGAGGGCCAAACCCATGTGAGCATTTGCGATCATTCCAAGCACATGGACCAAACTTTCAAAACGGTCATTAATACTAATATGAGGGCTGGGCTCGGAGTCAGGGATGCAGAGGTAATTTAGTTCTGTTGCCAGCTGTATCCGCTGCAGCTAATTTTTGAGCCTGGCTCTGGGGATCGCTTTCCCTGGTCTCTAATGAGGAGAATTTGTTGATCTCACATAGGGATGAGAAATAAACTGATGGAGAGCATTCAGAAGTGACAGCGGGCCTTGCATGTTTCCTGGTGGCCCAGATACAGGAGAAAATGAGGGTCGTTTCCCTGGGGTGAACCTTGCAGAAACAACTCGCATTCATATCCCAACACCTTCCCCCTTAGTATCTTTGAGTTGCCCCACAACCCTGCCAGATGGGCATCACCAGGTCCATTTTACAGACTCAGAGGTATGGCAACACACCGAGGCTGCCAGGGCTCCGAAGCGGCAGAGCCAGGGTACAGTCCCAGTTGCCACACTCAAAGCCCAGAGCATCTTGTTTTTGCACCCACAGGTACCTCTGCAGTGACCTGTGCCTTTGAACTCGAAGGACAGAGGAGCTGCTGGAAACCCTGGATGCCTGCAGCTCTTACCTGGGAGGGTGGTTCCTGGAATCTGCGACCGAGCCTTCTCCAGCCACTTGCTGCAGTTGGTGAAGGACTGCTCATTGGTCACGTCGTAGACAAGACACAAGACATTGGGACTCTCCCACTAGGCAAGGGGGACAGGATGCAAACACGTCACTGACAGCGAAAGTGACTTCTAGGCGGGGAGGCGATTTGGCCTTTGAAGGGAAGGGACACGCGGGTGGAGGGAAATGAAAAATCCTAAAGGGAAAATGAGTCAGAAAACTGAGCCACACCCATGGACGAAAACGATTCACCCACAGGAATGAATGGGAAGGCCTAGGCACAGTGACCATGATGGCGAGAGCTCGAGTCCATGCCAGGCTCTCTGCTGGGCATTTTCTGTGCGTCACCGTGAAACCTCCCAAGTCTGCAGGGCTGGTTTGAAGATCCCTACCATGTAGCTGAAGGAACTGAATTCACAGTGGGTAACTGACTTGCCCAGATCACACGGGATTCAGACACCAGGGTGGAGCTGATGCCTTTCTCTACCCAGAGACACTTTTGTCTGCCCCGGTTCTCATTCTGCTACTTGTTCTCATTGAGAGCCCACTCTTATGCAAGTTGATATGCTCTTCTGCTCTGCAGGCCTGAAAACGCATCCTTCTTTTTCATTAGCCAGTCACTGGAAGCTGGTTTGCTTACATCTTCTTAATAAGGGTCGGCTTTTTAAAATGCAAAGGGTACGTTCTGCTTCTCCAGCAGTGTGTCAGCCCTAATCCAAACCAGATTGGCCACTGGACAGGGTTCATGGTCCCAATTAAGAACCAAGGCTAAGCTCTCAGGAGCCGGCACCTTCAGGGGCTGCTCAGAGTCCTGGGCCACCCTGCAGCCTGGCACAGGCTGTGGGGCTGCACTGATACTCATCTTGGTCTCTGGGGACCCCCATTCTGCACAATTAGACCCCGGTTTATTTCTAGGGTGTTATCACCTCCCAGGGTGTGAGGAAGAAGCCTTTTCCTTTTAGCTGTCCTTGGAAGGTCAGCCTGGAATAGGCTCTGCAGGCCTCCAGGATGGGAGGAACTTAGACTAAATTGATGATGCCCTTACACCTTCACTCCACAGACTAACTTAAGAACTCTAGCTGAAGCCACACTGACCACTTCTGTGTGTATGCAGGAGAGACCTTCTTCCTCCAGGCCTCAGTGAGCAGACCCAGGATGGGCAGCAGGTGGCCCTGACTTCCCCAGACACATCATCCCCTCTGCTGGGCAGCACCGGCCATTATATAGGCATGTGGTGAAACACCAAGAACTGATGCATGAGGCCAGCCCTGTGTGAAATTACCATCACTACATCTATTCCTCCCAGACAAAAAAAAGAAAAAAAAAGGGAAAAAAAAGGAAAAAAAAAGGAGGGGGGCAGCAAACAATTTCTATTAAAATGTAGCTGTTCTTGGAAAGGCAGGGGCTCTGGAGATCTCGAACCTTCTAATTAGTTCACTGGCCCAGATTATCTTGGAAGGTACAGCAAACTGGATCCTAAGAGGAAGGCTGGGCCGACTGGAGGAGCTTGGGCAGCAGGAGCAGGTCCCAGAGCAAACCTAGACGGGGCAGGCTTGCAAATATGGGCACAATAAAGGACAGAAATGGTATGGACCTAACAGAAGCAGAAGATATTAAGAAGAGGTGGGAAGAATACACAGAAGAACCATACAAAAAAGATCTTCACAACCTAGATAATCACGATGGTGTGATCACCAACCTAGAGCCAGACATCCTGGAATGCAAAGTCAAGTGGGCCTTAGGAAGTATCACTTTGAACAAAGCTAGTGGAGGTGATGGAGTTCCAGTTGAGCTATTTCAAATCCTAAAAGATGATGCTGTGAAAGTGCTGCACTCAATATGCCAGCAAATTTGGAAAACTCAGCAGTGGCCACAGAACTGGAAAAGGTCAGTTTTCATTCCAATCCCAAAGAAAGGCAATGCCAAAGAATGCTCAAACTACCACACAATTGCACTCATCTCACATGCTAGTAAAGTAATGCTCAAAATTCTCCAAGCGAGGGTTCAACAGTAGATGAACCATGAACTTCCAGATGTTCAAGCTGGATTTAGAAAAGGCAGAGAAATCAGAGATCAAATTGCCAGCATCCACTGGATCACTGAAAAAGCAAGAGAGTTCCAGAAAAATATCTACTTCTGTTTTATTGACTATGCCAAAGCCTTTGACTGTGTGGACCACAAAAAAACTGTGGAAAATTCTTAAAGAGATGGGAATACCAGACCACCTTACCTGCCTCCTGAGAAATCTGTATGAAGGTCAGGATGCAACAGTTAGAACTGGACATGGAACAACAGACTGGTTCCAAATAGCGAAAGGAGTACGTCAAGGCTGTATATTGTCACCCTGCTTATTTAACTTCTATGCAGAGTACATCATGAGAAACACTGGGCTGGATGAAGCACAAGGTGGAATCAAGATTGCTGGGAGAAATATCAGTAACCTCAGATATGCAGATGACACCACCCTTATGGCAGAAAGTGAAGAAAAACTAAAGAGCCTCTTGATGAAAGTGAAAGAGGAGAGGGAAAAAGTTGGCTTAAAACTCAACATTCAGAAAACGAAGATCATGGCATCTGTTCCCATCACTTCATGGCAAATAGACAGGGAAACAATGGAAACAGTTACAGACTTTATTTTTCTGGACTCTAAAATCACTGCAGATGGTGACTACAGCCATGAAATTAAAAGACACTTGCTCCTTGGAAGAAAAGTTATGACCAACCTAGACAGCATATTAAAAAGCAGAGACATTACTTTGCCAACAAAGTTCTGTCTAGTCAAATCTATGGTTTTTCCAGTGGTCATGTATGGACGTGAGAGTTGGACTATAAAGAAAGCTGAGCGCTGAAGAATTGACGCTTTTGAACTGTGGTGTTGGAGAAGACTGTTGAGAGTCCCTTGGACTGGAAGGAGATCCAACCAGTCCATCCTAAAGGAAATCATTCCTGAATATTCATCGGAAGGACTGATGCTGAAGCTGAAATTCCAATACTTTGGCCACCTGACGCGAAGAACTGACTCACTAGAAGACCCTGATGCTGGGAACGATTGAAGGCAGGAGGAGAAGGGGACAACAGAGGATGAGATGGCTGGATGGCAACACCGACTCAATGGACATGAGTTTGGGTAAGCTCTGGGAGTTGGTGATGGACAGGGAGGCCTGGAGTGCTGCAGTCCATGGGGTTGCAGAGTCCGACAAGACTGAGTGACTGAACTGAACAGAACTGGAAAGTGAGCCACGCTCTGGGACCTCGAGAGCACCCTCTAGTGGGGAAGGAAATCTTTGCTCCAGACCTAGGAAGTGGCATGCGTGCTAAGCTGCTTCAGTCGGGTCTGACTCTGTGACCCCATGGACTGTATCCCGCCAGGCTCCTCTGTCCATGGGATTCTCCAGGCAAGAATACTGTAGTGGGTTGCTGTGCCCTCCTCCAGGGGATCTTCCCCAGCCAGGGACTGAACCTGTGTCTCTTAAGTCTCCTGCACTGGCAGGCAGGCTCTTTACCACTAGTGCAGGAGGAGGACTGAAAAAAACATCCCGAGGAGAGGGTTGCCTAAGAGAAGAGAGTCACCAGAGTTGGGGGCTACTCTGGCACATTGGGAGCCCAGCTAGTCCAGAGTTGGGGGGAGGGGCAATCACAAATCACATGCAAAAGCTGCTCCTACCTGTCAAGGGGTCACAAGCCCCAAGGCTGGGAGGAATGTCCTTAAAGAATGTTGCCATGGCCACCCCTCCTGCCAACTGGAGTGCAGTGGGCATTGTTAAGGGGCAAACCTTTGGAGGGAGGCGGAGGCTAGAAAAAAGACTGAATGCTACTTGCCAATTTATCCAACATTTCAGAAAACAGCTCTTTGCCGGCCGAGTCAAAAATGAAGAGTTCCTGGAATCAGAAAGGCAGGTCTCAGAAAGTTGAGAAAACCCCTGGCTGCACACCCAGATAGGACTCCCGCTCGCCCTCAGGGTGATCCACATGTGCACACGTGCACATACATTTATCTCTTGCCCCGGGCAGGCAGACGAGGATGGCAAGAGGAACGAACTCAGGTACAACTGTTTCCCACCCCAAGCAGCCCCTTCTGAGTGGCGTCTCACCTCTTCTAACCCCGAGTGCAAAAATACCAGGAACAAGCTGACTCCCCACCTGGCAGAACAGAATGCTAAACAGGCTGACAAGTGCTCTGGTTTCCAAAAGGTCATTCTGCACTTTGTTAACCAAATTGATTTTCAAATCTTGAAAAACGATCCTGTTTAAAGGAGGTCACGGAGGCGGCCTGGGGAAGGCATTTAAAGTAGGACAGTCTGTCAGGGTTCTGGACAGCTGAGGCTTGATGCTGGCAGAGGGCTCAGGATGACCCTTCCTGCCCGTGTCTCAACCTTCGCCGGCCCAGGTGAGAGCCCCTCCCCGTTGCTGCTATTCCAGGAAGTCTACCCCAGTGCCCTGTGATTTCCCACTGGCTCTGGTGACTAGCACACGCTGTCTGAAGGTCAGCATCATCCTCTGCTTTGCACATTGGCGATGGCTGTGTTCATCTTATCCCTTCTCACTGCATCCCGGGTACTTAAAATTGCTTTTTGCTCATGGACTGCTTTGACAATCTGGCAATTCTTAAACCTTCTCTCCAGGAAAGTACATGCAAACGTTGTTTGGTTGCTAAGTCGTGTCTGACTCTTCTGTGACCCCATGGACTGTAGCCCGCCAGGCTCCTCTGTCCACGGGATTCCCCAGGCAAGAATACTGGAGGGGGTTGCCATTTCCTTCTCCAGGGGATCTTTCTGACCCAGGAATCTCCTGCCTTGGCAGGCTGATTCTTTACCACTGAGCCACGAGGGAAGCCCACAGGCAAACGTTAACAGCTTGGAATTCAATTTCAAGGGTTGAGCTTTTGCACAGAGAGATGCGGGTTAGGAACCTTGGTACTCAGGAAGTTCTGAGGGTGAGGTCCAGAGTCCAGTCTTCCTCACTTCCTCTTCTTTTTCTCTATAGATTTTATTAATTGAATATAGACTTCTATCTATTTATTAATAACATAATATATGGCAGCCCAAGTCACCAAATACTGTTACAAAATATCCCCTCACTTTTGCTAACTGAAAATCAGGATATTGCTTTATTCTTTTCTTCAAATCATTACAAAACTATGGTGTGGTAGAGACAGTCATATAATTAGGTCCTGGTTGTTGTTAACTCAATGGACCTAAGTTTGAGCAAACTCCGGGAGATAGTGAAGGACAGGGAAGCCTGGCATGCTGCAGTCCACGGGGTTGCAAAGAGTCAGACAGGACTGAGTAACTGAACAACAATTAACTGTTTCAGGAGGGAACCTGACCATGGCAATGTCACAGCTGAAATATGTACACCTGAGTTCCTAGCCTTCTTTTCTTTTGGCAGTTGTTGGCCTCACCTCCTCTTCTTCGTCCCTTCCCTACAGGGCTTCCCATGTTCCCCTCATTCTGTTCCGAAATGCTCAGACAAGTCTAGACCAAGTCCTGGCACTACTAGGTAGCTAGTCAGATGTGAGCAAGTCCTGCTCCTGCTCCATCCTGGACAGGGTCCTCTTTCCTTACCCGTCCCCCCCCCGCCCACCGACACTGGTGATCAGAGTATGCCCAGAGATCCTTCCTCTCCTAGTCCCTGACCACCTCTCCTAGTCAAGAACCACTGCTAACTTTCCAGGCTTATCAAAATCAAGCAAGATAAAACCTCCAGCACAGGTTTACAGTCACACCAAGACCTAAATGGTGACTCAAAGTAACCAGGGGTTCATTATGCTGTATTGGTAATAAATTAGCACTGCACTTTCTGCCCGCCCCCGTCCCCCTCCCCCCCCCCCCCAACTGTGGATTACACTTGGGTGCTTATGGGTAAGCCGTCTGTGCACAAGGAGAAAAATTCTAGAACCTAAAGCTGTCAATCAACTTGTCAGTCAGACGATGCAGGGCACAGGGAGAGATCACCGCTCTAAAGACCCCAATCACACCCCACTGTGGGGCTGCTTCTGATTTCCAAACAACCTGTTCTTTCTCAAGAGGATACTCTTGTTTTGCTTAATAAACTGTTGCTACTTAAAACTGTTCTATGCCAAAGACAAATATCATATGATATTGCTTAAATGTGGAATATAAAAAATGGGTACAAATGAACTTATCCTCAAAACAGAAATCAAGTTACAGACACAGAAAACAAACTTATGGCTACCAGGAGGCAAACAGAGAGAGGGATAAATTGGAAGATTGGAATTGACACATATACCCCACTATATATAAAATAGATAACTAATAAGGACCTACTGTATAGCACAGAGAACTCTATTCAATAGTCTGTAATGGCCCACTGGGAAAATAATCTGAAAGTATATAATATATATAACACACACACAGACACACAGACACACACACATATACATGGGGGTTTTCCTGGTGGCTCAGATGGTAAAGAATCTGCCTGCAATGCAAGAGACCTGGGTATGATCCCTGGGTTGGGAAGATCCCTTGGAGAAGGGTATGGCAATCCACTCCAGTATTCTTGCCTGAAGAATTCCAACGACAGAGGGGCCTGGAGGGCTACAGTCAATGGGGTCACAAAGACTTGGACACAACTGAGCAACTACTGAGAGATATATATATATATATATACACGTATATCAGATTCACTTTGTTGTACACCTGAAACTAACACAACTTCACCAACTACATCCAACTAAAAAAAATATAGCTGCCCTATGTCTCTCGACTGAAGTCTTTCCCCCGAAGGCGAGAGCTAGGAAATTGCTATTCCCCAGGGACAGCGCTGCCTGTCTCCCGAGGAGGAGGACAGTGGCCACGGAATCCTCAGGCAGAGCTGGGGCAGCACGGAGCTCCCTCGGGGCAGCAAGGGGACCACTCACCACACTGTCCCCCGTGTCAGGGACTGGCACTGTCTTCACCACCAGATCCACCCCTGTCGTCTGTGGAGGAAAAGGAAGAAGACATATGTCAGGGGGCTCCCAGGGGTGTGTTGTCAGGAAGAGCACCCAACCCTGGGAGGCGTGTCCCCGGCTCCGGTGTCTGTTCTGGGCTCACTTCTTGTGCAGAAGTCAGAGGACCTAGTCTCGTCCAACCCCCAGCCCATGAGCGGGCTGTATGTGGTGACCAGCTGACCACAGGCATGTCTGCTCCATATGGCTCCGAACCCTGTGGCTTCTGGCCATTCGTCAGGCCTCTGAGGGCCTCTTAAGGATAATGGGAAAGTCACTCCCTTAGGGTTATCTGATCACTTCTCTTTAGGCCTCTGCCAGGCCTACGACATTCACATCTCACCAGGGTGTAGTTCTTCTGGAAATGGGCCCCGTCACTGCGGAAGAGCTGCACCAGGGCGGTCTTGCCCACGGTGGGGTCTCCTGCGAGGTCAGAGTAGAAGAAAAACACTGCTTTCACGCTAATCTGACTCAAGGATCTCCCACTCCAGAAACAGTCTAGAAACTGAAAAACTTCAATGAGTTCTCAGAGAAAATTTGCCTGATTCTCATGGGAAATTGTCCTGGGGTTGCTGGCAGGGCAATGGTTCCATGAGACCCATTTTCCAAACCAGCCTCATTTCTTCCGGACTAATCCTTTCATCTACAAAAACTGACCCAGAAGGTAACAGAGTGGAAGGAGGGCTTCTGAGCACTGGAAACAGAACCGAGACTCTTTCACTGAAACACACCTGATGGGGAAAACCTGTTCCTTACAAACTTGAACTTACTATGAAGTCTTGAAGGTAAAAAGCTTCCCAGGTGGCGCTAGTAGTAAAGAACCCACCTGCCAATACAGGACATGTACGAGACATGGGTTCAATCCCTGGCTCAGGAAGATTCCCTGGAGGAGGGCATGGTGACCCTCTCCAGCATTCTTGCCTGGAGAATCCCATGGACAGAGGAGCCTGGTGGGCTACAGTACAAAGGGTCACAAAGAGTTGGACACAATTGAAGTGACTTAACACACTTGAACGCAAGTAGGTATGACCAGGCACAGACTTATGGGTTCAGGTGACTAACTGAACCACTTTGAGCTTAGAGCACTCATCCTTAGAATCCTGCATAATTACTGGGGGGCAGAGGGGGTGAGAGTTAGGTGGGACCATATTTATGACAAAGAGTCAGGGACCACATGTGCCACCTGAAACCCATTTCCAAAGGACATTTCCCACCTCCACCTCCTGGTACCCATTTGCAACCACTGTGGACCCATCTTCCCAGAGCCTCTCCTCCAAGTCTACTGGCAACAGCCACTGGTTCCTCTAAGTCCGTCTTATACCTTCCAGGTCCATCTTCTCAGCTTTCTTTTGTCAGTGGACAGCCCCATAAATTGGTACCTCCAAACTAAAAGTTCATGTCACATTTTCAAGTCTGAGACCTGGACCTTTCACAAGGCAGCAGGGGCAATTTGTTCTGGAGTTCCTCCCGGGCCCCCAGGGGTGCTGGAGACTCTCAGGGCTCATCCTTCATTCCCCTGCGTCCTCCCAACAGCCCCACCGGTGGCTCTGCGTGGCCTCCTTTGACACCACGCTGCTTTCATTTGCAAGATCTTTTCCACCTTGAGCTTCACACTGACTCTCCCTCCATCATCCAGCACCTTGGCGGAACACCTGTCTCCTGCTTTCTCACCCCTTTGATCCTCAGCAAAATCACCATCCTTCTTAGTTGCATCCTTTGATGTCATCTCCTCACCTTAACCCACATCATGGGTGGCTCAGCGTTCCTTTTACTTGACTCCTTGATAGCCTGCTGCTCTGTTAACTTTTCAGTTTTGACTTTTGTCACCTCATGTGAGACAATTACTTGACTACTCGTGACATTTCATTTCACGTCAACTTCTCTGGGTCTGAATGAGCTAGTCAGGTCTTGCTTTTCTACCTGCTACCAATTCTTAGAAGGGAACAAACAAGGGTTGAGCTTCCATTATGGACCCATTCACTCCTTCCCAAGCCCTTTACTTGACAAATGAACATCCTGAAACTCAGAGAGCTAAGTAATCTGCCTAGGATTCCAGTAGCACACTCTTTCCGCCAGCCCACCCCTCTCCTGGAGCTCAGGGACTCTTCTGGCCCATTTCTAAACGGTCCCTGTGGGTCCTCATCCCTGCAGCCTTTCAGGGGATGACTGTATCCACCCTCCCGACTTCAATTTTGCATCTGCATCCAGTTGGAAATTGGTTCCTCCCACTTGTGAAATTCCCCACAGATCTGTTCTGGTTAATTTCATATATCTTGCTTCTGACTGTCAGTCAGAGTTCCCCATACTTCTGGAAAACCTCTGGTGTTGGCTAAGGAAGGATCTGAGCATGTGCAGTAAGGGGAGCCAGCCGATAAACACGTTTGCAGAGCAACAAGATGACAAGTGCAAGTTCAAATAATGCAAGCTGAGAACCAAGGTGTCTGAGGGCGCGGGGAGGAGAGAAGCTGATGAGGGCTTTCATCAGCAGGGAGGACTTCCCTGGAAGAGGCTGAGCCCAGGGGTGATGGCGGGGACAGGGGACGACGGGTGCACTGCTTGATGGAGAGGGTGCCATCTGCAAGGTCACCTGTGACCTCATAATTGCCAAGTTCAGTGGTTTTCCCTCAGTCCTCATGCTCTTCAACGTCTCTGAAAGATGTCAGCTTGAAGGAGCACCCCTCCTTCCACATCCCTCTGGCCCTGGTGACCCTGCACTGGCCTGGTCCTCCCACTGCTCCTCCCCCTCTCCGCCAAGTGGACCTTCCTGTGCATCCATCCTGGGTCCCCATCCACTCTGTCCCACTTACTCTTGCTACGTTTGCTGTCACTTCACGTGCCACAATCCATCTCCCAAGCTTTGCATTTCCAACAGCCTGTGGGTGTCTCCACTGCAATGCAGGGCCTTCACCCAATCTCAAGTGTGTCCACAGCCACGCTGGGGCCAGAGCAGTCCTGCCCACCTGTCTCATTTGTTCTGGTCACCATTCACTGTCACTGTCTCCAGACTTCACCCACAGTCACCTCTGAAGTCTCCACCTCCTTCCTCCCATGCCCAGGCAGCCGTCTCTTTATTCCTTACATCCTTCGCTGGGTCTCCAGCCCGAATTTCCTTTGTTGTAAGGGCTGACACTGCCTTAAGTTACCTTGAACGTCAACTGGGTCTCCTGTCTCAGCCCCAAACTCACCCATCATGCTCTGCCTTGTGATGCTGGGGCTGGGGCTCCACACACACATTTCTCCGTCTCCCAGGGGCTTCCTATCACACTCAGGGGCTTCCTGTCAGGCTCCGCCAATGTGAGTTCAAGAACTCTTCCAATGTGGAAGGCTGGTGGGGGGAGGAAGAGGGACTTGCTCCTTCTCCGTTGCTTGCAGTTTCTCTTAGCAGTCTCCTAGCGATGGCCTTCACCCCAGCAGCAGAGGTCGGCTGCTGCCTCCAACTGTGTTGTCTGTGGTTCTGCACTTCTGGGCCAGCCTGAATACACCCCGTCAGAGACACTAGCATTGGTGGGTAGGATCCCCTTCTCAGAGATCTGCAGCTCAATTCCGAAGGCCCTTCTGAGCTTTGGGGTTCTGATACCCAGCCATCTTCCCTCTGTTCCTGCAGCCCTGGCGTAAGGCTCCTTCCTGCAGCTCCTCTCTGTGCCGCCTCACTGTTCCCATTTGTCTTCCCAGCCCTCCAGTACATGTTTAGTGAACATCCCATGCTAAATCCTCACTATCTAGATACTGAGCTTTTTGCCTGGACCCTACCTCATGTAGCACTCAGTACCAGAAGTGATCTTAAGACATAGCGCCTCGGGATGGCCTGGAATTGGTTTAGTGGTGTCTTGCCCTAAACACTGGGCCTGAGCTCCCGGCTAGCGGGCAGTGGGTCTTAGTGATCTGTGGCAAGGGCTGACATCACACACTGGGTACCACTCCAGCTGGGCAGTGTTCCCTCCTTGGAAATCTGGATCTTAGCTCGAGGGTGGGGGCGGTTCTTCTTCAAGCTTCTGACAACCCTGATCTCTACCTACTCTTTCAGTGTCACGACAATGTTGTCTCCTGGGTTTTTCAGTACTCTGACACCCGGTGAACCAATTCCATACATTAAAACCTCTCTGCTGAAATGCCTAATGTATCTTCTGTTTTCTTGACTAGGTCTGGACTGCAAAAACTTCCCAGTTGGCCCTATTTCATTTTTGTTTTTTCTTGCTGTTGTTCTTTCACCCTGAGCTCAGCATCGACAGACAGACCTTCATAAAACAGTGGCGCTGTTTTATGTGTGATGTGCTCCCAGAGCCTGTCCAAGGATGCTTTCCACTGTGTACCCTTCTCCACCTTCCAAACCTGTCTCCGGCTATCCCTTACACAAGATCTGGGCTCTACCCTCCTATTCTCTTGCTCCCTGAAAATTCCTCGAAGAAAAACCTCCTTCCAGGTCTCCCTAATACAAATCTTAATCCTGCTCAATTCTCTGCCAGGCAAAGCTAAAAGAATGTCCTTCTGATGACCAGCCTCTGAAGGTCATCTCGCGCTCCTCTGTCTTTACCTGCCTGGCTACTATGGCTCACTGCTGGTGGCATGAGACTCGTCAGAGCAACCTTCCAGGGAGGCACGATTATCACCCCCACGTCTGTCAAGAGGCATGAAGTACATGGTATTCAGGGCACAGATTCCAGCCCCAAGGCTTATGAGCTGTGTGACCTTGGTTCTGTAATCTCTCTGGGCCTCAGCTGCTACATCTCCAAAATGGGGAATAACAATATCCATCTCAGAGAATCGTTATGAGGATCTAAGGAGTTAACATGTACAGTGCCTGACACATATTAAGTAATATTGAAGTGATCTGGAAGCACATAAAATACAGATAAATGTTAAGGGTTGTTTTCTCTCTTCATCTGAACCAGGACAATTAGCAGCCGTGCCTTGAGGTATTTCTCTGGGGGCTGGCACAGAAAGGGCGTTCTATTTGAGTTTGCTGCGTTATAAGCGTTTGTGTGCAATCCAGGGCTTCCTTCAGTGCGGGAGTGGGCTGGGTTCATCCTGGGATTCCCAGTACACCTTGTGTGGTGACTTACACATAATAGGTGCTCAGTAAATGAGGACTGAATGAGCACTTGAACTGAGTTATCAGGACCTTTGGTAGCTGGTTATGTGAGGGAATAGAGGCAGCTTGACCCCATGTAAACAGCTGGTCAGTGCAGGAGGAGGTGCGTGTGGCGGGGGGTGGGGTGGAGAACGAGAATTTGGTGGGTGGTGGAGATGGGCTGGGCATAGTTATCCACTGCACTGAGGTCTCTTGGTCCCTGGAAACTTCCAAGATGAGACAGATTTCCTTAAGGCCTCAAAAGGAGGCTACAGATTGAGGGCTAGGTTGGAGTTCAGGATGACTTGTAAGGCCATGGACGAAACCAGATAAAACTAGTATCTGAGGTTGTGAGTATAAAGGACAAGGAGTCAAGAATCAAGGCCTGAGATGGTAGCCTGTGGGGCTAACAACAAGCCCTGGAAATCAGATCACCTGGGTCTAGATACCAGCTCAGCCAAATCCAGCTGTGTGACCCCGGGCAAATGCCCCAACCTCTCTGGGCCTCAGAGAGGCCCCCAACTGTAGAGGAGAATGACGATAATCCTGACCCCACAGAGCTGTTGAGATGACCTATGCTGAGGGTATAGCATAGCACAGGCACAAAAATGATGCTCAGTAAGTTAGCTTCGTGATGGAAGTTGATTTAAAAAAGAAATAGGAGAAAGAACAGTCAGAGAGATAAGCCCATTAAAAAAAATCTAACTTCAGAGAAAAACGTCTCCACTTTATCCACGAGGAGACTGAGGCTCAGAGAAGGGCTTTGTCCAAGAAGACACAGCCAATCTGTGGAATTATTTTTGTGGCACAATACTGCCCCTGCTGGTGCTCTGGAAACTAGACACTGCTTTTGAAGACCATTCATTTCTTTTGCTCCAGCACGATCTGAGTGACTTCGATCAGTCATCTTTCTGTGTGACCCTTTTACTTCCAAACTGGAAAAGTCAATACAAATACCACCCCTTTCAGTCTGAAAGAGAAGAATTAAAAAAAAAGAATCTCCTTTTCCTCTTACTGCTTCTTTCCTGAATTGGTCAGAAACACCTGGAAAGGTCACAGGTTTCAACAGTAACACAAGTTAAGAATTATGGAGGTGAGCAGATCTGGGGGGTGGGAATCCCGGCTAGGACCTTCCTTCACTAGGGGGTGACCTTGGCCCAGAGACTTCATCTCAGTCCTCAGCGAGGTCAGAACAACTCAGCATCTGACCCAGGGCGCCATGCTGTGATGTGCTTAGTCGCTCAGTCGTGTCCAACTCTTTGTGACCCAATGCACTGTAGCCCGCTAAGCTCCTCTGCCCATGGGGATTCTCCAGGCAAGAATACTGGAGTGGGTTGCTATTCCCTTCTCCAGGGGATCTTCCTGACCCAAGGATTGAACCCAGGTCTCCCACATTGCAGGCGGATTCTTTACCATCTGAGCCACCAGGGAAGTCCAAGAATACTGGAGTGGGTAGCCTATCCCTTCTCCAGAGGGCCTTCCCAACTCAGGAATTGAACTAGGGTCTCCTGCATTGCAGGCAGATGCTTCACCAGCTGAGCTACCAGGGAAGCCCTACCCCAGGGTGCTACCTACTGTGAAAGGGTTAAATGAAATACATGTGCCTGGCAATGCAGCAAGGACTCAGGAAAGTACATCTGTGCTCTGAGGTCCCAGGTCCATAATCCAGGCAAATGTTACTTCTCATTTCTAAATGAGCAGTAACACCACAAATGTGCATGCCACATATGCATTCATTCTACAAATGTTTATTGAGTACTTCCTACGTTCCAGATGTATGTTCTGGGTGCTTGGGATGTATCAATCAGCAAAACAGATTCTCACTTTTGGGGGATTCATCATTTATGTCCTCAAGATTATGGGGCAGTAACCATAACTTTGGGTCTTAAAGACAACATACATGGTATTTTTGCAAACTCTGGTCAACTGGACATTACTGTATCCTATCCCTGTTTTCAGAAGAATGGGGTCAAGGAAAAAAATCCCATAAGTAAAGACCACCTAAGTCACGGATGCCTAACTTTGGAGTACAGCACATGGTTCAGTTGAAGCATTTATGGTGTGCTTAGCCTGATTTTTTTAAAAACCAGTCTGCTCCTCTTGAGTACAGCTCCAATTGGTGACGGTGGTCTCAGAGTATAACAGGGAGGGAAGGAAACCAGCTGCAGCTAGTGTGCTCTGGAAGATAATTATCCCATGCCTAATGGAATTTACTGTATCAGTAATTGCATTAACTCGCCTTTGGGAGAGAGAAAGGGAAAGGGGTAGACAATTTACACGAACAAAAGCTCTCAACAATTTATGAAGTCTCTGAACTCCGGACACTGTATTCGCCCGCAAGTTTTCAGACTCACCTGCCAGGATGCATTTGGCTGCCAGCTTCACCATGGTAACCAACCACCTCCTCGGAGTAGACAAGAGAAGAGCGGCTGCTGGAGGCGTTGGTGGCCCTGCCTGGGAAGGGGAGTAGGGAGAACTGGCGCTCAAGGGGCCAGTGGCCGCGGTGAGGATCGGGACAATGGGGCCTGGACCCTTCGGGCAGCCGGCGGGGCGGTATCTGGCGCTAGGGTCGCGGTGGGGCGCGGAGGAGCTCTGGAAGGCTAAAAGTCTTCAGAAGGCAGCCGGGAAGTTGCCAGGGAGGCGATGCGGCTCCTGAACCCAATCCAGCCCCCGGCAGTGCGGTTCGGGAACAGTGACCCAGAAACCCTCCGGGCCCAACCCCCAGACCCACTGTGGCTGTGATCGCGGGGCAACCACCGCCCGCCTGCCCCGCCTCCTCATCGTCCCCCTCCTTCTCGCTGGCCATCGATTGGCTGACATAAAAAACTCCCACCCCCTAGGGCTCACGGAGACCAGTGAGAGAAGGGGGAAGAGCTAACAGCCATTTCTCGTCAGATAATTCGTTATCATAACTGCTCTTCAAGTTTATCGCGCTTGACTAATAGTTGCAGAAGATGTCAATCATTTCCCCCTCCCGCCCCCGCACGGCTTAAAAGTTCAGGCAAAAGCAGCTCCAACCTAGTATATCCAGAAGCGGTGATAAAACAAGCTTTCTGATTGGTCAGAGGCTGGCTAGGCCCATCTTCGGGAGGAATGGGGACTCGCCGTATCCTCCTGCCCTTCTGGAAGTGGGTTCGCCCACGAAGGGGGCCGATCGCGAGCGCGGGAGACTGGAGCGGCGCCGGCGCACTAGACGAGGTGCGCTTGCCCAGGCCGAGCGTTGAGTCAGCTTGACCTGGCTGAGGCAGCTCTTGACGCCCCTCCAAGTCCCAGATTCCAGGGAGCATGGCTGTAAAGTGCATCAAGCAATCCACTCTTTGGCTCCTTAAAGCCCAGGGCCGTTATGCGCTTTAAATACCGAAGTGTTAAAAGTGATGTCCATGGACAAAGGAGAAGTGGGGGAAGCTGTTGGACTCAGGAATTTGAAGTTGTATTTTCCTCTGAGCCCAGCCCCTCTTGTGAAATGGGGATCGTATCATATACCACACGTGGAATGAAAGCAAGCATCCTGGACATTTCTCATCCCCCACCAAGGAGGCTGACTTTCCGGGGAGGCCCCTCTTGCTCTGCGGTCAGGAACCCCAGACTGAAATCACGGTCGTCTTCCTGACCTGGACAAGTGGCCTCACCCCTGAGTCTATGTGCTCACTTTTAAAAGGGGTTCGTGGAAACCACCTTCTTCGGTTGTCCTGAGACTGTAAGTGCCTGGGACACAGTAGGTGCTCAGCAGTGATGAATGGATGAATGAGAAGAGATTTACTGAACAGATTGGGTTTATCATCACCATCATGTCGGCCAGATGCCTGCACCCCTTTTCTCACTCCTGCCGGTTCCTCTGGGATTGCTGGTGCTGAAAGGGAAGAAGAGCCCCTCAGGGAAGGTGCAGACTTCAGAATTTTCTATCGTATGCCCTTTATTTAGGGCTTGGCACTGTGGTAAAGAATCTGGCTGCCAATGCAGGAGACACAGGAGACGTGGGTTCAATCCCTGGGTAGAGAAGATCCCCTGGAATAGGAAATGACAACCTACTCCAGTATTCTTGCCTGGAAGATTCCATGGGCAGAGGAGACTGGTGGGCTACAGTCCATGAGGTTGCAAGGAGTTGGACTTGACTGAGCATGCACACACACACACCTTTCATCTCACCTGCCGGGTGTCTTACTGTGGCTGCCAGTCTTTCACAGGGCGATGAACACACACATGCTCTACAAACTGCTGCAAATGTTTCAGCCTTGAATCAGGACTGAAACAATGCAAGTTGTTTGGAATTATCTTTCCCTGCCAATCATTCCTGGTATTATGGTTAAGACCTGTCTCCTGCATTCCGCCTTACCTACTTGTTTTCTTGGGAGACATCATGCAAGTCTGTCTCAGATACCCCAGGTCTTGGTGAGTCAAAAAGCCTCTCCTGGTCTTTCTGCCTCCGCCTCCAGACTGTCCTGTTAATCCCTTAAAGGACCTCTTGAGTGAGTCACCCTCCCGAGGCAGCTCCATGGGGCTCAGATGCTGAGATCCATCTGGGGGTGATACCTCTGGGAGCCTCAGTTTCCTCATCTGTGAAGTGGTGGGGGGTAATAATTGCACCTCCCTTATGGGGTTGTTCTCCTCAGCACCACATCAGCCCTTTCCTTCCTGCTCCTGGATGTGATTTTGGTCAATACTGTTGTAAGAGCATTTTGTATCTTCCCAGAGGGGCTTCCCTGGTGGCTCAGGACGGTAAAGAATCTGCCTGCAATGCAGGAGATCTGGGTTAAATCCCTGGGTTGGGAAGGTTCCCTGGAGAAGGGAATAGCAACCCACTCCAGCATTCTTATCTGGAGAATTCCATGGACAGAGGAGCCTCCATGGGGTTGAAAAGAGTCAGATATGACTGAGCAACTAACACACACACACACAGGTGGTAAACCCCATACGGTGAATTCTTCCACTTCACTCCGCCATCCCAAGGGCCTTCTATACACTCTTGATGATGAAACAACAGGCACATGACTGTCACTGGGTTTTAGGGGATCAGAGAGTTTGGGAGCCATAAAGACGCTTGAGATATTCTAGTCTAACCCCTCCCTGAGCAGCTATAACAGAGCCGGCGTTTGCCAAGCCCACACTGGGTGCTGGCCTCAGTTTGAGTGCTCTGAAGAGTTCATTAACTTACTATTCATGTTCCTGTTTGATATTGACAATAACCCCTGTGAGGCATGTATCATCTCTGTTTGATAAACAGGGAGACTGAGGCCCAAATGAGGTGAAATCAAATGCCCAAGGTCACAAGGCTGGTGAAGGGCGGAACTGAAGGCAGGTAGACCATCAGCCTCTTGGCCCCTACTGGGACCTCTCCTGCCTCTGATCCTCTCACAGTTCTTTCCATCCTAGAGAGTAAATATTGATTGAGTCCCTTGCACTAATAGCTCCTGCTGATTGAGCATTAGATATTCCAGACATGTGCTAAACACTTCACATCCTCTCTCTTATAGGGTGCAATGACTCTGGGAAGTGGAAGGGATCATTCCTTCCATTTCTCAGGTAAGGAAACTGAGGCCCACAGAGAGCCCAGGCTCATGCAAGAAGAATCAGAACCGACCTCAGGTCTCCTGCTCCTAGGACCAATGTTTTTTTCCATTGCTTGGTGTACTCTTTCCGTTTGCATTAATAAGCTTTTCTTGAGTGCCTGCTCTGGGCCAGGCCCTGTGCTGGTTGCTGGGTCATGAAATGAAGGTGCCAGAGACCAAGGCAACTCTGGCAAATGTTGGCTATGGGGGAATACAGGCCCAGTCATGCGGAACCCTGCATTTTCTAGAGGAGCCAGGAATCTGGATTTCTTTTGTGTGTGTATTCCCCCTGACTCTCAAATTTTGGCAATGAACTTCAGTTTAAAACACTGCAGCAGCTGCAGTTGAACACCTCTGTTGTCTGCCTCACTCTGCGGGCTGCTGTTTGTGACATTTAGTTGAGGAAGACAGATGTGTGAACAAATCTTATGACAAGAGTAGATACAGGACCCCAAGGAGCACTCTCAACCCTGGTTAGGTGGAGTTGGGAAGGATATTCTGGAAGGAAAGCCTTGAAGAATGGGTAGGAATTTACAAGGTGGACATTGGGGTAAGGACTTCCTGCGTAGGTGGAACAGCACATGCAAAGGCATGGAGTTGTGGGAAAGAGCTGAACATTTGGAGGATGGCAGGTGACACGCTATGCTTAAGAGTGAATGGGAGACTGCTAAGAGATAGGTCTGACCCAGGCCTTTGCTTGAAGCCAGATGTACAGCAGAATGGCAAAAGAAAGTGAGGCAAGGCCTGGCATAGAACCTTCTCTGAGGGATTCATTCAACAAATATTTTTATTGGGTACTACTTACTAAATGGGCTTCCTTGGTGGCTCAGTGGTGAAGAATCTGTCTGCCAGTGACAGGAGACACAGGAAATGTGGGTACAGTCCCTGGGCTGGGAAGATTGCCCGGAGAAGGAAATGGCAACTGCTCCAGTATTCTTGCCTGGGAAATCTGATGGACAGAGGTGCTTGGTGGGCTACAGTCCATGAAGTCGCAAGAGTCGGACACCACTGAGAGACAAAACAACCACACTCACTAAGCACCAGGGACCAAACCACCATCGTGGCTATTCTCAGGGAGCATCTAGCCCCGTGGGGAAGCAGGTAATCAACAGTGGTTATCTGTGGCTGCTTGCGGTCAGTGTTGAGTAGGAAAAGACTAGTTGCTTTAAGAATAAGTATTCTGTGGTCCCTGGATCAGCAGGATCAGCATCACACAGTGACTTGTCAAAAATGCACATTCCTCGGCCCCACTCAGACCAACTGAGCTCTGGAGGTGGGAATCACAATCTGTGTTCTCATAAACCTTTCTGGTGATTCTGGTGCCTGATCATGTTTGGGAACCATTGCTCCTAGGTCATGCCAGGACCCACTTTTATCCACCTTCTCCAATTGCTTTACTGCTTCTCAAACTCCCCAAGACCCTTCCTACCTCAGGGCCTTGGCACTGACTGTTCTCACCGTGGCTGAATGACCTTCTCACTACCTTTAGCTCTTTGTGCAAATACCATCTCCTTGGAGAGGCCTTCCCAAGTGCTGGTTTAAAGAATTACCCCCAATCTATCAGACTCAACTCCTTGTCTTACTGTGCTTTCTTCTTAGCATTCAACACTACCTGGTATTGTTGTCCATATTTATTTATTTGCCTTGTATCTGTCTCCATCGACTAGAAGATAAGCTTCAGAAGAACAGGGACATGATCTTTATGTCCTCCCAGCATCTCAGGTCGTGCCCAGCATGGTGAGATACTTAGGAAGTATTTTTGAATGAATGAATGAATCTCATAGGGTTTACCCTTCTGGTCATTCATTCATTCAACAAGCACCAATTCCTGTGGAGGTAATG